GCCACTGCAAACCACCGATTCAATCTCAGCTCATTCCATGAATTCAGCACAGTAATGTTACCTACATTAAAAAGAGATGATTTAGACAACGATATTAAGGTCGATGAAGTCATGAATCTGACATAACGCCGACATGATATCTGGCAACACTGGAGGACGGGACCGTAGCCATTGCCCTAAGCCTAAAATAACGTAATCTAATATTTCTTTTTTTTAATGGCGAAATGGTACACTGAAAGCAAAAAAAGGGGACTTTTTGTCACCTACAGGTCAATATCTTTTGTTTGTTAGGTCTCTTTCCTCCGAAAACTTCCCAGGAGCGGCACCCCTGGAAGTGGGGGGAGAGAGAAAAAAATACCGGAACGAAATTTACATTTCCGAAAAGCAAAATTCAACGATCTCCACAACCCCGTAGAGATAGAGCTTCATATTTGCTAGAGCGGTTCTGGGTTGAGACATGAAGTATGCGAATTTTCGTTCCTGTTGATCCTTTCAGAGAGGAATACGAGACGGTTGAGTTTTGCCGCCGGATGGGGTTGAAGAAAGGTAATGGGCGCTACCGCGCCCATTCATTCAATTCAGTAAAGATTTACAAGTACAAATTTAGTGTTCCTGTAAGAAACCTATGAAGTACTTATTATAATGATTTCAGAAAGATATAGGGTGGATTGCATGAAACTAATGCCAGCATTGGCCTAAAGCTGTATTAACCAAAGGAGGTTTAAAGTGAGACATTGCATTAAGAAATTCACAACAGCTAACTGACATCAGCACTTCCTAATGTGCACTAGCGACTCCGATGACGTATATCCGCAAGAATGTCGTTCACTTCGATGCCCGCAAAAGTACTAGGGTGAGTCAGAAAGTAACAGGACGATCGTAACGTAGGAAATATAACTAGCTACGTATTTCGCACATAGCACTGCTTGCTAGAATATCAGCACCGTGAAAACGGTGTTCTTTGGCTTTGCTGCCGTCTCGTGTGCTTAAGTTACACGTTACGTTACGTTACAGTTACGAAAAATGGCGACTACGGGTCTCGATTGCACCAAGGAAGGTTGCGTTCTGTGATCCGTTTTTTGATCGAAGATGGCGCGAATGGCAAGTTCAATTTTTCGCCGACTCAAGGCAGTTAACGAAAACTATCGAACAAAGCAACGTTCACGAGTCGGTGCGAAAGTCCCAAAGCGGAACGACGAGTGTCGCAGACGCGGCGCGTTCGGGCCGGCAACACTCGGTCGAACGACGCAGTGGAGGCGCCGGACACGTGCATCGGACACGAAGGGACCCGAAGGGACCCCGCGCCTGGCAGAACCGAAGAGCGCAGCGGATCCGCAGCGGTGGCGGGGTATCGCCAGAGTTCCCCTTTCGTTCTGCGTTCGGCAGGGTCTTTAGAGAGTCATTCCCTATTTTAAAATCGTGATAACGCTTGTCATTTTTTGACTGGGAATTTCGATCCTCCGTCGTGGTCTCGAGGCGGCGATGAAAGGAGAATGCCTTGGATGCAACTTCACATTTTCTCCATCCCTCGTGCTGCGGAGCCACTTGCGCACGGTGTCGCAGATTCAGGGTGACATGCACCAGATTCCTTTAACTTTAAATTCATTCGTTTTCGTAATGGACGTCTATGGGAATAAGTTAAACTGATTCCTATAAGGGACACCGCCGTGAGATCAGATTAGTTTAGCTTAAACGGATCCGGTGTCACCCTCAATGTTTGCACCATGGAGGTTTACTGCAAACAAATCAAATCATAAAATCCCACCGAATTCTCTTTCTTTCCACACAAAAACGAGTCCGAAAAATGACAAACGTTATTGCCTCGTACAATTAAAAAGAAAAGGAATGACTTTTCTGAAAATCCTGTAGATCGTGTTTAAGAATCGTCCATCAAAAGGAGGATGCCCTGAGGTGCAAACCGGTACTTCCGCAGTACCTCTTCAGGAGAGTACTGTTCCAAGTCGACGATGGAACACACGTTCCTGGGCGTCGAGTGCTTCAGCTGAGTGAAGGGCGACTATCTACTCGATTCGCTGCTTATTCACTCTGCTTTCTTTACAGCCGCGGAAACATTCGGGGAAACAAAAATACAAATTATCGTCTGTGGACGTGGTGAAGCAGTGAGGAAGTGTGTCGAGCCAGCAGGATGTTCTTCTTCGGTGCTGATTAAGGTGCTGATTAAGTGGGGTCATTCCACGCTAAATCGACCAGCGAAAAAGCTCGACCATCTCGGATTTGGACGAAGATCGGCATACACGTAGAGGAGTCGATTTAAAGAAACCAATTTCAACCAATTTTTTTTATCTCTCGCACAGATCTCCAGATACATGCATTTTAATGTGACCTAATTTCCGCTCCCAGCGCTCATACGGACTGGAATTGTGAAACTGTTTCTGCGATAACTTCCACTCTAGTTAACCTAAAAGCTTCATTCTNTAAGAGGGTAGGGCTGGTTCATGGCTGGAGAGCACCAGGGCTGTAATAATATACGGTTGTATGCCGAAGGAGACGACCTACTTATAAACACACGCAGAACATTCTAGCATGCTCTGGAAAAAAATTGTACTGGATATTCAAGAAATTCCGAGAACTTTCTTTCCAATCAGATAGTTGCACCTAGGAATCATGGGAACGTAGCCCAATGCTATGTAGCTCTATGCGTGAAATTTTTGCTGGCGCTTAATTTTGAGCATTTTATTTTTTTTCCTAGCATACCAAGTTACAACATATTAATTTTTGAACAGCTACAAATCCATTAACCCACTTAATTGGCTTTAATTATTCAGTCAGTTACATAATAATAATGGAATGGAAGTACTTTTATTGAAAATCTGGGCAATATTTTGTGATTTCGCAGTATAGGCGCACGATAAAAGTGCATAAAATAAATAAAAATCGGCAATAATCTTACCAAATGCATGGCCAACCACGAAGCTCCATTTCCATGATTCCATTCGAGAAAACTCAGGAACTCCTGTTCTCGTTAAATAGTCATATCGGATGAAGCGATTGAGGGCCAATATTGAGTTTGGGGTCGTTTGAAAGGACATAACGTGCACTTCTTAAAGAAATATTATATCTCTGGATTCAGAGTACAGATTTTAGTCCCTGAAATCGGTCCAGCTGTTCAATCAATTAGAATTTTGGCCCTGCCGCGGGAAACAGTCATATCTAATTAAGGCATTAAATGCCAATCTTGATCTTTGTAGCGTTAGAACCAGCATTAATTGCACTTTTTAATCAATACTACAACTTCAAATTAATGGAGACATGATGCAAATGTCGGTCGCCGAAATCGCCGATTGTTAGATCATGTGGAATTTTCGGGACACGCTAGAAACGGTTATATCTCATGAACCGATTGAGTGCCAACCTTGGTTTTTGTATCGTTAGAAAGGGCGTAGCAGGCACTTTTTAATGATTTATTAGAAGTCCGGATTCACCTGGTGGAAAGTGCAGTATTCGGTCACTGAAGTCGATCAAAGTGTTCGAACAAGTGGAAATTTGACCCTAGTGGCGCGCAAAAATATTCATATCTCGTCAGGCCATTGAGTGCCAATCTCGAATTTTATATAGTCAGAAATGGCATACCATGCCCTTTTTAATGAAATAATGAAATACCTAATTCACGATGTGGCAAGTGTTGATATTGGCCACTGAACTTGATCAAACTGTTTGACCAAGTGAAGCGTATTGTTTCGGATTAGGAGGATAATGTCTAGAGTCATTTTAAAGACGGCAATCTCGCGATTAAAATGACACCAGAATGAAGCTTTTAGGTTAACTAGAGTGGAAGTTATCGCAGAAACAGTTTCACAATTCCAGTCCGTATGAGCGCTGGGAGCGGAAATTAGGTCACATTAAAATGCATGTATCTGGAGATCTGTGCGAGAGATAAAAAAAATTAGTTGAAATTGGTTTCTTCATTCGACTCCTCTACGTGTATGCCGATCTTCGTCCAAATCCGAGATGGTCGAGCTTTTTCGCTGGTCGATTTGGCGTGGAATGACCCAGTAGCATCGTAGCATTATATTAATATTTAACGCTGAATTTAATCGGAATTTAACGCTTCGTTGGACTTAATTTATTTTCATGCAATCCACATAAAAAAATTTCCGCTGAAGTAGCTTTAACTCCAACCCTAAAGGAGGTTTAAAGCTGGTATTAGGCTAAAGTCGGTTTCATGCAATCCACCCAAATCACTGGTTTGAATCCCGCAGACCCGTGTCATGCATCCCATGGTTAAAAGAATCGATGACGTAGAACGCGGTAGGTTTTCCCAGTTCGATGGCAGCAACAGATCGAGAGGAAACCAACTCACGTCGCATAAGTCACAGGTGAGGCGCAGATCGCGTCATTATTTCTTTACTTGCAGGGTATCGAACGAGTGAACGAGGTCAAGTGATTTATCGACGGTCCCTTCCGTGACGAGGTTTCATGGTTTCAGAGAAAAAAAAAGGAAGAACGTAGGTGTTAAGTGACCAGGCAGTAGGCGGTTATTCTCCCACAGAATTCTCTTACTTTAATCCTTTGAGCGGGTTCGACGCGACTGCCACGTCCACTTTCTTCCGGTTTGAATGGTTAAAAGAGGTAAGCCTTACTAATATCCATTGATAAATAAATGCTCGACCTCGACACGAGAAGAAATGCCTCTCGACGTCCCTACTCAAACCTTGAACCTCGAAATGCCGGCTTCACCCGGAGAGGAATCTTTCACTTCGACTCACGCCGTCCCGCAGTCTTCAAGAATGTCTTACGAAATGGACTTATCTGCAACTTAGCCGTAACATTTCGGCATAGTGCAGCCTCATTTGAACGACCATCCAACCCTTCGATCCATCGAATCTAAATAGTGATTTAAAAAAAACTTGTGCGGACAGGATTTTAGCGCTAATATACCTCAAGTGTACCTGAGTACCATTCAAACTCATATTTTAAAGCATCAGGATTATTAATTAATTCCAGAATGCCATATAAAAAGGAATGACCTTTCAATAGTTCTAGCCGAAAAAATCCATTCGTTTTACCTGTCCATTGAGGTAGGTGGTGAGATAGTGAATGACGTCATCCGGCCACGGCAGGGAATTCCAGAGGCCCCACCATCGGGTGAGGACCGTGGTAACGTAGAAACCAAGGACGAACGTGAGCGGGATGTTCTTGTTGAAGTCCCGGCAGTAAAGCACCACCTTGTGGAATCCCCTGTCAGAATCACATTGCCAGATCCGTCAGCGTTTGGAAAGCGAGAGAGCCTGAGCCGGTATGTAGAATCGAGGGGAATCTGTCGCTGACAAAACATGTAGACTGACGATCGTACCGAGTTTTGCATTTCTGAATTAGGCTCGCAAGAGATGAAGACACGAACGAAAAGATAATCGAGAGAGCAATGAAGTCGCACTCACGTCCTCTGATCCCCCACCAGTCCAAAGTTATAAAGACAATAAAATGAATAATAGGCGACGAGCCAGATGACGATGTCCAACCCGATCAGCTTGTAAATGCTCCCCTTCCACCTGCGCGAGACGTCACGATGGAATCCGTCAAAATCCACATCGACGGCTTCCGTCCGACGAGGCGCTTACCTGAGGAGAATCCCGATGATGCCACCGATGCGAGCCCCGGTTGCGTATTTCGGGGCATTCTCGTTTACTTTCATGGTGACCGCCCGGGCGAAGTTACGAGCACGTGCGTCCCGACGCCATCAATCACTCTTCTGCGGCTGCTGCTCCACTCGGTCTCAACTTTTATACGGAGGGCGTTATCGACTGGGATTGATTTCCGAGCCTTCCATGTGCACATTCCTCGTACACTCGCAGCCTCAGCCCGCCCATTCAAAATAAAATGGTTGTAGAGGGCGTTGAAGGCAAGAGGCGGGACTTCTTCCCTTGCATCATACGATGAATAGGGCGAAGATGAGTCGTTCCAGGGCGCAGGATCCCAGGACTATTCCGACCGATGCACGCATACCTTTGCTTTGAGTATGTTGAGAATGGTGAGACCTTTTTCGAATGGTATATTATGGAAACCCTTTTGCAGTTCGGGAGAATAATTTACCTCACAGTGCTTGGTCGAAATCCGTCCATGTGCCTTCATTGGTTGTTATTCTGTGCCTGATGACTGCAAATTATCAATGGCTTTTCTGCGAATCTGATGTATCGGATGTCGAATTGACATATCTGACCGATGGCAGTACAGAAAGACTCGTAGCATTCAGATATGAATACTTCCTCCCATCTTCATGACATTCCATCACAAATTCTGCTTCAAATTCAAAATTTTGGTTTTGAATTTGACGATCAACTGAAGCAATTGACGAACCTCTCAGAAAAAGTGTGATGACCGATGTCGTATGATATTTCCCCCCCCCCCTAATGGAAATGGAGTTCGTCTCGTTCCTCGGCGGCTATTTCTTCCGTGCCTCTTAGTGTTCCTTTTACGTATCCATCTGCCTCGCTAACGGCTAGGCTAGTGTTGATTCCTCAGGGCGATCTTCAAAGCCATATCGAAGATTCAAGCCCCTCGAGGGTAATAGGCAAATTTAGGCAGGGAAGAAGAAACACCGTCCTCTGTTGGAGGATGTTCTTCTATGGTTTCGTTTAATCGGTTTCTGACAATAAAGACTATATTCTCTTTTGGCAGTCAACAAACTTACAACTCTACTTTATAAAACGGAACTCCCTTCATTTCCATTAAGGAAGGGGGGAGGGGAAATATAAAAATAAAGAATATCATTAGACACCGGCGTAGAATGGGAATACTTAATAGTTGTTGCAAGGAATGTCCCGTTACTGTCCGGATTCATTTCTGCCTGATTTCTCAATAAACTGTCAGACAGCGTCAACTTTGCTGTATAGCCGAACCATTTGAAAACCACTCAAAAAAGGTTAACAAGGAATAATAGATGTTTCCAAATAAATAAATTAAACTCTGAGAGGTGCAGGCCACTAAAGGAGAAGGCGATTGCCCAAACAGGTCCTTCGCCCCAAGACAGTCTGGTCCTTCCTGGCTCCCGTCTCGCGAATTTCTCTCGACCTTTTCTTCTTCCCCTTCTTGCTAGGACGCGAATTGAATCAATCAGAGAAGGAGGGACGTAGAGAGGGACGTAGGTTACTTCCACTTTCGCCCCAGTGGAATCTCGCCTTCGCGTCCCTATTGACAAGAATCACAAGATGTGATTTAATCTTTGACCTACACACGGTTGGGGCGCACGGGGCGACTTTCCACGCGTGAATTTCATGTCTGATACCCATATATGCCTCAACCTTTAAAAAGGGGAGGCAAGGTCAACTCTCATTGCAAAATGGATGCTGATACATGCTCAGAAGTGCCACTTAAACGATTTTCGAACTCGCAGCTTTGATTTAGAAGGAATAATAGCACATGGAATCGCGGCTGGTCATGCTGGAGACTGATATAAGCTTTGACTTTAATTCCTTGCACTTCTAGTAGCTTTAAAAATTCTCGGGCTCGCTAGAGACATCTAGCGGCTGAGTATGGGTCAAGGGTCATACCGGGGGTCAATCAACCCTAGCGGGACCGCATGCTCTTCTCTTCCATATGTTCTACCGTGACGAATTAATCTGTTCTTTAGTTATTGATTACGATTTCAGTTTCCTCATTCTTCCAGGAAACTTCGATTTTGCTGTGTAGTAATTATTGGGTTGATGCATAATTATTGCACTTTTTTTGGCGCCTCTATTTTAACGCCAAGTTGGCGTTTTGTCTGAATCTTGTTTAATAATTTTATCCTCCATTATTTGCAGGTTAAAAATGCGTGTTGATAACCATATTCACTTGCGTCATATTATGCTGTACCACTTCGAGTAAAGATGGACCGTAGCACAGTCATGTCGTGATCTCAACGAAGTTTTTGGCGAGGGAACAATTTCTGATAGTGTTGTTCGAAGATGGTTTTGTCGCTTCAAATCTGGTGATACGAGCTTGGAGGACAAGCCAAGAAGAGGTCGGCCATCGGATTTTTGACGACCAAGCCCTTTTGGCGGCTGTGGTGGTGGTGGTGGCTTACGGTGATATTCCTTGCACTCGTGGATGGTTTTCGCAAATCCTGCGCCTTTTTTGGTATCAATAATGAATGCGGCGTAAGTTGGTGTGGATGTGCGAATGTGCATGGGTAAATTAACGGGAGCTAATTTGAAATCTAATTTATTTCACGGCGGTTTGCTCAGATCTAGTTGATCGATGAATTTGAAGTTGCGATTTAAACGGAGTGGAGGCTACCTTTATGGAGTTACTAAATACAGTTGTATAGGATGTATTTCGACATATATTTGATTGCATATACGCCAAACTTGACTGGAAAAAGTCAAGGGCCACTGTATTGTTAAAACATGATGTGGACATATGTGCACAAGTTTTTCATAAATTTTTAAATAAAGAGGCCAAATATTGTCCTATTTGACATCACGCATGAATTGTTAATGCGGAACTCCCGCTCGGGCATGCCCGACCAACGTCAGCGTGAGCAGCCAAGGCCCGAGCCGGGGCGAAACCCTGCCCCCATCCCCAGTGCGCATGCGCAGCTTGGTTTTCCATTCGGTCCTTTCCCATTGGTGGAAGGATGTGGCGTGGGGCGGTGAGAAGCGGCCTCGCTGGCAGAGACTGCCGACAGGCCTCGCTGATGTCGCTTTCGCTTGCTCGTCTCCATTGATTAATTTGCGAATTCTTTCGAATTCGTCCTCGATGATGTTTGTGTAAAGTTTAGATACCTGTTCTTATACTTATAGTGACAATATCGGCAGTTTCTACATTTTAGGTCTATTATAACGACAAATGCTAACGATGAAGACATAGGCGAATACTGTGATTCAGTGTTCCCAACAAAGCATTTAATCGGAAGCGGCTCCTTTGCAATCGTTAATTTGCGCTTCGCGAGCTTTACGACTTTATTTAAGCATGCGTGCTTGGAAAAAAAATGCATTTTTGAAGCCCCTCGAGATAAAGGAGTACGGAAAACGGAATCATTTTCACGCCTTCGACATTTAGGCACCTTATTGGGCGGTATGACAAAAATTATTCTCGGAAGCTGAATGAAGAAATATTCAAGCTACTTTTCGTGTCATGTGTTAGTATCAAAACGTACCTGGAAGTCCTCTGTCTTTCCGTCGATTCGTCGGTGAGATATTCTCATGGAAACTCCATGCACCAGGTTCGAGTGAAGGCAGTCGATTCAGTTCGAAAGCTTTCTTCATTTACTATACAGTGCAGTATTTATCTAATGACTTGTAATACTTTCCTAAGGCGCGATAGGATAAAGTAATATACTTCGAGAAGCTAGAGTCCTTGAGGAGCACAATGGCTCCAATTTCGTGCTTAGTTGAATAGTCAATAAACTACAGTATGTCGTGACTTCAAGAACCCCAAGAAGATCCGGACTTTTAGACTAAAAAATGCATGATGAACCATTCAACGATCGACCCTCTCCTTGGTGCGCATAAAACATACGGCAGATCCCTCCTCCGCACCTTCATATAAACAGAAGCCCCCCCCCCCCTCCCCACCTCTAATGAAGTGATGCAATCGCATCTGCCCTCCTCTCCGACATCAGAGCATGTTTCTCGAAGTGACTCTGATCCTTCTCCTTTGATGGAGAAACCGTTTCGACTCTTTGGACAAACTCATGATCCGAATCGCGAAAAGAAATTATATCCATTCTGAACTTTCTCCTGGAGATTTTGACCGTGCAGGACACTTCCTATCCCTTCCCCTCCCCCCCCCCCCCCCGCCAAATCTGAGTAGAATTTAGATTAGGCATGATACAGTATATTTATTATCGATAATTTTCGCTGTCTTTTTTTTTCAGAACCAGCGCTGCATTTGGAACCTCGATGGACTATGATGCTGAATGAACCTCAAAGTTGCGTCGAAGAAATCCCTCAAATCCTGAAGAAACATTATCAGGAAGAAATGTTTTGCATATCTTCTCTCTAGAAGTATGTGCAATATGGAAAGTAGTCACCAATAGTCACCAAAGGCAACATAACTCGCACTCGAAGGCTGTCGAAGAGCGTGTTCATCGGCCTTTCGCCTTAGTTTGTACGTGTCTTTTAGCGGTTAGCTGTCATTCAAGGCGAAGCGTTCGCATTTGAAACGTGCTTCGCTTTTCAGTACAAACATACGAGAAGTCTCTCGAGCCCTGAAGATGCTTGCAACGGACTTTGTTAGTACTCTACATCACCTGGAATTCGGTCACTGATCGACGAAAGAAGACACGGGGGAGAAGTTTCCTTCGAGGCGGCGCCATTCGCCAATGATGAAAAAATTTGCTGTTTTTTTTTTCCAGCCTGTTCAGCACAAGAATCATTTGGAAGAAAGTTTTTTCCAGGGACTAGATTCATCTGAATGACAGAACAGAAACAGGTGGACTTTTCATTCTTCCACCATTAAATAATCTAGAACTAGGTTCTAGAACTTTTTTCCTTTACTCGTATTTGGACCACATGGGAAGAAATTGAATGAGGGTGCGTGATGCATGTGATCAGGTAACCAAGCCTTTCACTTCCTTTCCTGGAGTTTCCTTGCCAGGAACATGGCCAAATAGTGATTTCATGTTATCCAGTTTGGTTTCAGTTCACTTAAGCTAAATTAAACTGGAGAGAAAAAAAGTCAGTTGGAAATACAATACCCCTCTTCTAGGCGAGTTCATGTCCAGTTATGAGAGCACAAAGCAGTGCTACATTGAAATAATTCCAGTTAAGATCCCAATTTACCCATGCCTCCCTCGTCTCCGCCAAAATGAGATCCTTTCCCTCTTTGCTTTTCACAAACTCCAAAATCTCGCGTTCAATCTACAATGAGTAACACACGTAAGTAGTTTTCAACACCACCTGACTTATGAACTCCCATTTTGGATCTCGATGGAAATCTAATCAAATCTGTGGAGGCATGGAGAATCATTCCGTCTTCTTTTTTTCCTTCTTTCATGCGATCAATCCCCTAACCTGCTATCATGCTATCAATCGGCTATCATGTTGCATTCCGTATCATGCGAGAGCCCGGGAACTTTAATGGGAAAAGAACCATTGGGTAACATTTTTTGATAGACAACGATAACCAATCGAATTCTATCCTTCTGTTGTACTCGTTTCCAGGAAATTCCTATTCAGACAAGTCGAAGAATTTACCCGACCGGAATCTGACTGGTGGGAAATTAACATTTGGGGAACCGAATACCGGATATTTGACTGCGAGGAACTGACCTGGACTTCTTCTGGACTTGGCTACCTGGGAATTGGTCCGACACCTACTGTCATATTAGCGTTCCGAATCGCTCCAAAGATTCGAAAAACCAAGTTACACCCAGGTCTTATCATGAGTCAGAGGATTCTCTTGAGGGTGACCAAGACGAACCAAAAGTTGTGGGAAAATTGCCAGCTTTTATGACATTCAATGGATTCTTTTTGATGCGCATGTGTTCAATCTCCATTCGCTAAACCTTTAGCTTACCTCACTTTGATTTGAGAAACGTACGACTCCAGCATTTCTATTATGGGTGTTTTTAAGTGTCAAACAGGAACCCCTTATTTTGTACCGCCCAGTTAGCGCTATCATGAGTAATTATTGCTATTTTTTCATTAAATGGGAACATCAGTCTAGTGTCATTTATACTTGAAACATTAATGAAGCATTTCCACTAAGCTATTTCAAGACCTTTTTCATTAATCAACTTCAGCCTTGAATATATTTGTTTACTAGGTATACAAGCTGGTGTTGCACGAAAGAGCGAACGACGCCACACATTGGGTGAAGCTGGACACGAAGTTGAAGATTCGGAGATGCGGTTGATGCGACGGTTGACCCTACTCCTTTCAAAAGTGCGTCCTTGTCCTACGGTTCGAAACCATTTTGCGGGAGGCTGCTTGGGACTACACGGGGCGGCACCACTTGAGTGTTTCCCGTCTTCAATATTCGGAACAGGGTTGTTGTCTTCATGAGGTCTGGATTATTCGGGGGAATGGGCGTCACCACCAGTTCTGGCGACTGTTGGGTTCAGAAGATTCCATCTATTATTGCAATTTTTTTTTTTAATTTAAGATCTACTGTATAATGATATTGCTTGTGTTATGTCTCCTTTAAAATTTTTTCGAGGTCGTGGCTTCAGTTTGGAGAAATTTGACGTTCGTATATAATATTCAGGCTTAAATTACCTATTACGAGGGAGTTCAAAATTGTTTTTCAATCTCAAATTTGAGATCATGTTTTCCTGCAGTCAATTTTACATATGTACTTTTACATATGTAAAATACATACATATGTTAATTTTACATATGTAATTTTACAATTTTACATAGTCTTCACAATTCACTATAGCAGAATACTTAGTTGCTATCAACTAGGGGGGAAATGAAACCTGTAAAGCCAACTAGGATCTTTATAGGATCTATCTAGGATCGAGGCATATGTATAGCATGCGTAAAGTGCAATAGACTAATTCAACTATACAGGGTATGGCAAAATATAACCAACGACTTTCAGCCTAAATATCTCCCCTCACAATAGAGCTATTTCCGCGTAACTTTCACTTTGCATGTATGAGTATATTTCCAAATGATACCTCAAATTCCACCCAAGTTTGTTGTGCTAAAACAATTCTTTAAGCAATTATTGAAAAGAAGTTAGACATTGAGAATGGACAAGAGCTCTTGCAAGTAAGTCTTGCAAGCTCCTGTCGCCATGTACGAAAATGTGGCACACATTGCTTTGAAATTAAATTATCGAGTAGTGTCATCTATGAAAATGAGTTTAGTCGTAAGTTTTCTTTTACTTTTTTTTTTGGGGGGGGGGAGAAACCCTAAACTTACATCTAGATTGAGTGACTGTTGTTCCGGATGTAGATATGAATAGCCTCACTCACCCTAACTTTAAACTCTGCTTACCTTTAGGAAAAAGTTGCTCGTACTTCAGATACCCTGTATTTCAGAAAAAGAGCTAGATAATTGTAAACTGCAAAATTACATCTCTAACATGCATTACTTTTTAGGTGTACCTTAGGTTATATGTGTCACTATGGAAACTACATCGATTCTCACAACACGACACCGCCTCTCATTGAAGCGAACTCCTTCCTCCACCGTGGGAGGTCGACAAGAGTCACAATGCGAATAGAGAAAATAGCTCATTCTTTCTTGTTTTCTTCCTTATTGGAAATTACGCAAACATTTTCCTACCTTCCTCGACCGACATATTCTGAACAAAACCATAAGCAAAACATAACAAGGGACGCCAAACCTTGTCCTTATACAAGGTATGTCGGCGCTGGCTTTTTCATGCTCGTAATTGATTAATATTTCACCTTGGCTTTTTTTTTCTCGTCCATCATGTCGGCGAAGATGCGGAGTTTGGAGTTCGGCGCAAAAGCTTCGTCATAGAGCCAAGGGAACATTTCATTCCATGTGTATTGCTTGAAACCCGTATTGAGTCCCTCTCCCATCACGTATGAGACCTTTAAAGGAAATAAATTTACTCACTTCCGTCCATGCTCACCGGTAAAACTGCATGCACCACCATGACAGCATAGTGCTCACTTTCATGTGACGGTCGATGAGCCAGTTGAGCTCGAAATCGGCATCGTCTTCACCGTATGGATCGATCAGAGATTCGGCCACTTTCAGCCAACCGATGTATAAGACCAACTGAGAGAAGTGGAAGAAAAAAAACATCATCCCTCTTGGGCGAATGGATTCCATGCTCGTTCGATCGTCATAAAATGTGTTCCCGTCCGTTTTACCAGGAATACTGATGTGATGGGGGCGTAAGTGTTGATGACATCTTTCTCGGAGTTATCGTCGTCTATGGACTGACTGCCGAACACCAAGGCACAATAATAGCTGTACGTAGCGATTGTTACTACCTGATGGGACAATCACATTAATATCAGATGTTGCTTGGTCTGAAAGAAAGAATTTTACTAGAATATTCTTGTTTTAAAGTGCGAAAATAAAATTCAAATGGCAACAAAGGAGCCAATGAACCACTAGCAAACCGCATTTTCACAAAAGTAGACAAAAATTCGAATAACATTTTCCTGTGGGTTTTCATTAAAATAGGAGAATAGATTGAGAGATATTAAATATTTTTTCTTCGCTCTTGAAATATGACTCGGATAACCGTACAATAAACGAAATTTCGTAATGAAGAACGAATATAAAGCATACTAGGAGCAGGTAAAATCCGCGCAATCTAAATACATTTTTTATTTATTTCTTCTATAATATTGCCCATACTCACGCACTCTCACACAGGCAAATGTCTTAACTCGCACCTTCTTTACGTACCAAAAATCCCAGAAAATTCTAATTCCATCCCTCAGAGTTAACATTTTTACCCTTACCCAAAAAATTTGTAGATTTTAAGAATACCATCATGACCGATTAAGTGCAGATAACGAGTTCTGTCTATTCTCTCTGCCCCAGCACAGAATGTTCCATAAGAAAGGATCCCCCATCTCCCCCCCCCCCAACCCAACCCAGCCCAACCCCAACCCCAACCCCAACCCCAACCCCAACCCCAACCCAAACCCCAACCCCCCCCTCACCGTCCAAGTCACCAGTCCAGTTTCAAAGCAGGAGTTTGTGGGGATGGTGTGCGGTTTCTGCAGACCTGCTCTCCCAAAGTTCCGAATTCATGTAGTGCACGCTGAAGAGTCCTCTCAGACGACGAGTTATTGAATTTGGCCGGGACAGAAGCAACAAAAACAGAGTTGATTTCGTGAGTCTCGTTTCACGATTTGCCTTCATAACTCTCTAGGGCACGTTTTGCTGCGGCCTGACAGCAATCGCGGTCTTCCCAAACGCGGTCTTGACGTCGTGGCTTCTTCCTCTTTATACCCCATTATGGTACCATGAAAAGGAGACTTCCGGAGGCCTGCCATCATGGCGATTTCTCGGATTGACTTCCCACATATGTTGCAGCCAATTACGACATCTCTTTTAGACTCACTCAGTTCACGTGCCATTAGCACGTTAGAGCAGGCTACTATCTCATACTTCTTAGGGATTATTTTTACCTATCCTGATACCATGCCTGCCACTCAGTGTAAAATGAACTAGAATAGCCATCGACTGCCATCAATGCATCGACCTATCGTAACAGCCCTACTCGATACCCACTGCCCAGTCGCAGCGTGGCGTCATGCCGTATGTACGAGGGAAAGGTTGGGGAGGGGGGGGACTTCTGCCCAATTTTGAAATTGTAAGCAGACTTTACCGGTACGCCTGGTAGGAGGCTGCACGGCATAATATTTATATTAAATATTATTAATAAATTTACTTTTAAATTGTTTAAATAAAGTAGATTCATAAAGTTGACGCTAACCACATAATAATACATTTTAAATATATATATTTAAATCATTGTGTTTTTTTGCACGGCGCCCCCTCCCCCGCTGGCGCCCCGGGCGATCGCCCGCTTCGCCCGCCCCTAGGAACGGCCCTGCTCAACCCTGGAACCGCCAGAACCCGGATGGTCAAACTCTTAACTCTTAGTTTCATCTCTCCATTCTCAAAGAATCTCTTCAAAATACTTTGTCTAATTACTATATCACATGTCTTCATGAAAATACACGGAATATCGGACATTACAAGTTCACTGCGCAGCCCACAGAAATGGCTTCTAACACATTCACTGCCGATCACTGCGATGGCCGTTTTGGTAAAGTCGTTCTCACAGCGCCAATGACGGCTTGAGCCACTTAAATACCTGGCAGTGAATGTGTTAAAGTAAAAGCCATCCAACTGCAAGAGCCTTTCAATTACGATGGTAGTATTTTCCGTGTCAACAATCCCTAATATCCTCTAACAATCCGATAAGCATTAAACAATCACAAGAGAGGTTTTGACTAGAGAAAAGAAATGTTTCTGAGCTCGAAGCTGTTGGGTTACAAAGTCGTACGGAATAAGAAGCAAAATACAAATGATGGATTCTGGAATTTATTATTGATTTCATCGACATTAATTTGAATTAATATCCATTGAAGAGTTTCTTGCCGTTGTCCAGGAAACACAACAATGGGGAGGAGGACCTCCTTTCTTATTGAGATCAAGGAGCCTACCAGGGATTACTCGGGAGAGGTGAGACTTTTCCGCCATCTTACGTTTGCAGTGGGAACCTTTTTTTCTGGAGTAAATGCCAGATGACTCGTCTGCAGCTAATTTACTTTGCTGCTAATTTTTCGACCCATCCCTTAACCTCGTGTATCAATTGAGTCCAGTTCATGAAAATTTCATTTTAAAAGTTAAAAAGCCAGGATCTGTTTTTTTTAATAATAATTATATTTAATTAAAGTAAATCTAATTGTTCATGACGATTTGACTGGAAACGTCAGCCTTTAACTGCAAACTTTAAACGGAAATAAAGGAGAATTGTACGTTAGTAAGACTTTTCTAACATAATAACGATAAAATCTTGGAATCTTAGAAATGGTAAAGAATAGATGAACAAAACTCCATTAATCAATATTCAACGGTTTGACTGCTAGTGTGCGCACAGGCAAATCGACGACGAAGTGCAATCTGCGGTATTCAATGAATTTGGTTGTAATGTGATTGGCCTTCCTTTGGTGAGTCTCAGCCTTGCTTCACCCCATTTTAAATTATACAAGCAATTTATAGCGTATGCAATAATTATTAGATGAGGCAATTAATATAATACAATTTCCAATAATCGATGGCGGAGAAATTAGAGATTTTACTCCAATTGCTATTGCGATTGTTTCCCTTGTATGTTAAAATGCACACCATTTTTTAAATCACATTTGCAAGCTTGACGAATCGCTCGGAAAGAGAACCTGAGAGTAGACGATCGGGACTTCTATGAATTCCACGTGTTGGCAGATGGAACACGTCCGACGAACGGCAGTCAAAGCATCGACTATCCCTCGAAGACCCAAGTCGCTCTGGATCCGATTCTCCACCCTGGCCTGATGCGCGATGTTCGTCGCCCACACGTGGGGGATCCAGAACATGGACCGCAGCGAATCTCCTGCTATCACTTCCACCAGCCGTCGTTCGCCTTCCTCCATCAGCCCTTTGCCGAAGAAGAAATGAGGACGAAAGTGAACTTTGTCAGCGGATTAGACGTTCCAAGTAGGTGCTTGAGTTAACATGAAAAACCCCAGCGGTATTTATTATATATATTTATTATATTATATATATATATAATTATTGCTATTTTAGACTTTTCCCATGTGACGATTCTCTCATCGGATTAAGGGAAACTTCTTTAAAATCACCCTGAGGCCCAAGTAATCAAATGCCTTTTGCGCGTCCTGCAGGGATTTGCTTCAGAAATTCCAAACTTGTTGACCTCTCTGACTTGCAACAAAAAAAAAACAAATCTCAGCGCACCGGAATATTCCTTTCTTGTTTGAAGCCATGTAGTCGACGACTGGATAGAGAAAGGAAGCACATAAGTAAATAAATTTTAAGTAAAGCACATTAGTAACGAAAGTAAAGAAAGCAGAAATTTTCTTTCCCAGAAAAGGTTCTTGCCTGCTTCGACGAGGCTCTTCAGGGACGGGAATCGCTTCCTGACTCGGCTGCTGAAGAACCTCATGCAGGAGACGATCCCCAGGTTTACGTGTCGGATGATTGTTCTTCTCATCAATTTCGATCTCTCATCCTACAATATTGAAGGTATGAAAAAAATTATCCAGAAAATATTTATGGGCAACATCTAGAAACCGAGGTTTAGAGTTAATGGTGAATTCGGAACGGGTGAACGAATGAGGAAATACTCTACTGCTACCTTTACCTCACTGCAATGGGAAACGAAAGGGTGCCGTCAGTAGTTTCTCATCGCAACAGAGCCAAATTGACTGGCAATTATCTGGGTTTCAAAGTAACCCGTAGGAGTCCGTCTTATTCGCTGACTTCGTGTCAATTGCTTCCTTCCTCAGAAAAAAGATGCATTTTTACATTTTCAGATGATAGCGTTTTCATCTACACTCTTAGAAAAAAGTGAGCGATATTCCAGAAAGGGAGCGAAACTAGAGTTAACGGTTTTACTCCCTAAAAACGAGGAAGTGCAATTGATAACTACTCCTTCATAAGAGCAAAATCCATATTCCTTCATAAGATCGCGAAACGAATGAGGGAGAGTACTTTTCAAACTAGTGGGAAAAGTTAGTGGTTGTTCTCAGGAAAGAGAGAGGTGAGCGGTTGCATTTCCTTGTTTTTAGGGAGTAAAGCCGCTAACTCCAGTTTCACTCCCTTTCTCGAAAATCGCTCACTCTTTTCTAAGAGTGTACATGATGGTCCTGTCCTTATTTAAAGCTCGGCATTGAAATCCCTCCAAAATCACCTGGGCGTGCATAGAATGATGCACGTCATAAATAAACACATCATGCTCAGGGTTTGCAATTCTTCGAGTTCTTCTGACTCGGCAGCCGTGGTGCCCTGTGATGGCAACAGTATGGATGGCTGTCCATTTAGAAAAGAGTGAGCAATTTCCGAGAAAGGGAGCGAAACTGGAGTTAGCGGCTTTACTCCCTGAAAACAAGGAAATAACACCACTCACCTCTCTCTTTCCTGAGAATAACCACTAACTTTTTCTACTACTTTTTCTACATTACAACAGGACTTTCAGGCTGCCTGGATGCTCCAAATAGAAACTTCAGACCATCGACTACTTACTACATAATCATTCTTGGCCTGAGGAAATCCCTCAAGAAAAGAAAAATAAGGTCTTCGTAGTAAAAAAGTATTTCTGCATTATTCCATAAGAAACGCATTGAAGGTTGCGCGCTTTGACTCCCCCAGCCCATTTTATGCTTCCTGCCTCCTGATGTTTCCAAAGTAACGCACCCAGCGAATTACCTTTCTTCAATCCCCTCTTTTAGCAAAATTCAACCTCCTAGTATTCCTCTCTGAGAGCATTAACAGCAATGAAATTAGGCATGTTTCATCTTCTCTCAACTCAGAATCACTCCAGCAAATTTGAAGCACCATCTCCTCGGGTTTGTGGAGAGCACTGAATCTCGCTTTCTGCGTATCTCAATTTGCGTTTTTGGGCGATGCCATTCACAGATAATGTGTGAGAGGACGAATGCCGCGACCCGACGCGATATAAGGACGTACAATGAGACGGTAGCACGGGGTCTGTCAATGGCATGGCTAAAAAAAAAAAACAGATTGAGGGAACCAAATTTACCGCATAAACACAGCAAATGATTTTATAGACACTCTCAACAGATGCGTGGTGCCCCTGTAGATGAAGACGATGGGCCCATAATCTTTATCTTCCCATGGTGTCTTGAACAAGTTGGGGACGTCTAGCAGAAAGTCGCTCCGTAAACAACCCTTACGGGAACTCCATATTCAGATTTCATGCGCGATATCAAATATGACCATACAGGGGTGCTTTGCTCGGAATGTACATGGTAAAATAAAAATAAAATTTAATAATAAAAAATAAAAAATAAATAATAATAAATTATATATGGGAGACTGTATTTGGAAGCCGTCCAATTCACATAATGTTTTGGCCATTCTTAATGAATATGGAGCTATACATGGTTCATATATAAGCCCCAGATATGGTGCTTAGTTGCAATGTACATGGCACATATAACAATTTGGTATGTTTTGGCTATATTTAATATATTGGATATTTGTACCTATATATTATCATATACGGGTCCCGCATACGGTTCTTAATTTGCAATATACAGTAGATGGCCCCCGCATGCATTAATGGCAGACTGATGCAGAGGCTCAGATGCAGAGACACTCAACATCGAAACTTGGCCAGGCGTTTTTGTGACTCACTTTACAAGGGGAACCTCACTCCCTCTATGCATTGAGCAAGAATTACCTGGAGTCTCTTTAAGCTAGGTTACATCTCTCAATATATGCATTCATTAAAACGACTTAATTCCTTCGGCTTGTACGTGGGAAATTGGCGAGTTGAGGGTGAAAGCTTCTGCAGAACCATTTATTAGCATTTGGGGAATCGGGAGACATATAGCGGCGGGATGAGCGCGACCTCGCTTATATTGTGAGAACTTTATAGTTATTGAACAAACTGCTAGATGTCAGGCCATATGGAAGGCCTCAACGTGCATGCGTGTGCATCCCTGGATATTATTTAATGCATGGACTGAACAGTTTCCAAATATATTCTAAATACAGTATTTTTTCCGTATAGTTTATATCAGTGTCATATACAATGCAAGCCTAACACTATACATGGGGATCTGAATATGAACCATATAGAGTTCCATATTTAGTAAGAATGGCCAAAACATGATACGGACTGAACTGTTTCCAAACATGGATAAATGCAGTACTGTACAATCCTATACATGCACCTGTACTTGGAAGTTCCGCAAGGGAAGACTCTTTCGCAGAGTGACTTTCGTAGAAATGGGGGCGTTTCGCAGAAGAATATTATACATACAGGTGTTATTTTAGATACCGAACGGAACATTTTTGGAGACAGACAAGGAAAGACATCCTGATTCTCCATCGTTTCTGTCCCGTATCATCCATAGACATTGTTTTAGCATTAATCGGCATTCTCATCGCGATCAATTGAAGAATGGCCCGTCGACATCGGCTTGTTAGTGTCATTTCCAAAGCGACATCGGGAATGAAGCTCCGATCGGCTTCTCGTTCTTTCTGTGTGTTCCGAATCGTCATGGCAACCTATTGCTTACCCGAGAAAGTACGACTTGCATTCCCGTGTATAGCGGGCTATCCGTGCTCGGGTTATCACGGAAGGGAAAATGCCAGCTCGCAGCTGACACGCTAATGAGTGGGTAACGATAAGAGGGACTGCACTAGGCAATATCGGCGAGGTTTGCAATTCCAACTTCTTTCTTCGTTACGTCGGTCCGCAGTTGGCTCGAAAAAGGTTCAAAATAGCACCATAGACCTTTAAAATATATTAAGAGAACCAGTGTTGCTCCACTGATGATGTTCGGGATAATTTGATCCATATATTCGATGGAACGACAAGTCTTCACGTGGGTTGGCAGTCTAAGGGTTATTATCAAGTTACTATTGTACCGGTCCGTGTCTATCTCGACCGGAATTTCAGCCTTGGCCGGCCTCGGTCAAAATTCATCAACGACATAAGGAAAACTCAGTCAAAATTGGTCCCAGCTGCAGAAAGTTAAAAGTAGCGCAGGTTAAACCGTAAAAAGTTAATAATCTCAAAAAATGATCAGATTTCGATCGGGAACATTACTTCTTCGACTTCCTTGGAAATTTCCATACTTCCCCTGGAAATTTGCAGAGAAAGACTGGTCTCCATTTTTGAAGGATAATAAGGACTGATCTGCCTGTCATTTTCCAGGGAATTTCCCAGAAAGCCATTGAAGTTTTCCTGTATAAACATGGGAATTTTTGGCTGAATTTGTTTTACGCTGTAGAAGTATGAACAAAGATGGGAGTTGATGACACGATTCCATTGACATTTCATTGACACGTCCCTAAATGCCGAATAGAAGCCATAAAAGTACCGAAACTAATGTCACGATTCAAAATATGTGCACCGACCGAACTCACTCCATGATTAATTCATGCCAATGCGCTGTCGATGCCCACGCGTGTCAACGCTGCCTAGGAAACATCGAACGCACGTCAATTAGAGGCAGCCGAAAAGTGCATGCTAATCAAGGTGCCAAGGACGAACCCAGGACTTCGTCAAGCAGACGCTAAGGACAAATTCATTATATTTAGAATGACCACGCGTTCCCTCCAGCGGCAATGCTTCCACGACGGCAACTCGTGCTAACTCCCCTTCAGCGCTGGTTAGGACTCACTGCTAGGGATAACGTGGTGAATAAATTCTATATTAAAGAATATCGGCTAGCGAGATATCGTGAGACTTGCCACGTCTGAAGGGTGTTACTGCTGAAGTTCCTAAGTCTTTACGAAAATGATCATTTTAATCATTCAAATTAATCTTGCCTCTGACAGTGGTACTGATAAGTTACATTGAACGCTGAGGAAGACGATGAGATGCGGCCAGATTTTTTAACGCCAGCCGAGATACACCGTAAGACGACCTGAACGAGCGAGCGAAACTCGACAACATTCAACAGCGAGTGAAAAGCAGAACATCCTTAAAGGTTAGGTTCGGATGCCGGATCCACTCGGCCTCGGAACCGATTTCATTTAGCTTCCTCTCGTCCTCGCTCCTTTTATTGCTTCATCCGAGGCTGTTGAAAATGGGATTGCCCTGGATTGAGTCCTGGTTGGACCGGAGTGGATGTCTCTTGTCTTCCGTCAATTAAAGTTTTCTTTGATTAATCAGTGTCAATGCCAGGTTAGCTGGAAGTGCAATATTCCTAATCTACTCTTGGATGTTTAGCGTAAGGAGTTATCAGAGCTGAATATTTCATTCAATGCCTATATTCCTTCGCCTATGCATTGCCTATGTACTAACTGGTGAGACTCACAATGGGACATGCCAGATCAAATGATGATCATCTGCCCTCGGTGACTCGTGATTCCGTTGATTTTTTCTCGCGGATCTAGAGGCATTTTTTCCTCGGAGATTTATATGTTGTGCGTCCAGTGATGGTATGAATCGCTTCATTTCTATGCAAAGTAATGAAATACGAGGCATTTTTCTCATTTTATCTACAAGCGAGTGGTATCGCTCCTCCATTCCCCAACGTGCAGGTACGACGAGTAGGGAAAAACAAACTCTATGATGAGTTCTAGGAGTTCATTTTTCAAATTGATTCAGATTGAAATGTGAGGTGTAAAAATGTATAGCTTATAGACTATATTATTGAGGGATGGAGATTTATGGATCTCCATATCCATCGTCTTGAATATCGAATAAAAGTGTAACGTCTGGGCAGATTAGTTATTTCATGTGCTTGAGGCTACGTGAAAGCTTGAGGAAGCACTCGTAAACTCATGCTTACAGTCAATAATAAGTGAATGACCTTGTACCTGTCCATTGAGATAAATGGTGAGGTAATGGATGACATCGTCCGGCCACGGCAGAGAATTCCACAGACTCCACCACCGATTAAGGACCGTGGTAACGTAGAAACCCAGAACAAACGTCAGCGGGATGTTGCTATTGAAGTCCCGGCAGTAAACCACCACCTTCTCGAACATGCTGTCAGCATTCACATCCCGAAACTCTTAGGAATTTGAAAGCTGGTGGAATCAAAACTAAAACCAAGGTAAATTCGTTTCCTGCAACTCTGTTGGCCTGCAGTGATGCTTAATGGGTATCGCGCCAAGAGTTGAGTTTCATTTTAAATAAATAAAAGTTGGGACAACAAAGTCACTCACTCCCTTTGGTCATCATCTAGTAGAAATCGATAGAGACAGTTGAAGGTGTAAAAGAATAGGAGCCAGATGACGATATCCAGGCCGATGAGCTTGTAGATACTCCCCTGCCACCTACGTGAGACTTCGCGTTGAAATATTTTTGACTGCAGAAATAACACTGAGGATTTCGTTTCGTGAGATGCTCACCTGGCCAAAAGTCCAATGGCGCCCCCAATGCAAGTCAAAGATGAAAACCTGGAAGCTTTTTCTGCATCCATCGTGGTGGAATCCGATGAGTCGAGACGATGCTCGTCACCTCGCCATCAAACGATTTTTGCGGCTGCTAATGCACTCCGACACGAGTTCATACCGTACGCAGCGGTATTACTGACCAGGATTGATATACGTATCGGCTTTATTCATGGATTAGTAATGAGAGGAAAGCTATCGCGCACTTGCGCGTCAATAAGGCTAGAGAGTGACCCTGGGTGTCCAGCTTTGGACACGATATGGATCACCCACCATGTGCAAATCGAAGGCTAGTCTACGAAAACGGGACATGGAGTGAATATGCAGCACGTAATGTGAATCACACCTTTATTGAAAATTGGCAGCAGTTATCGGTGCATCATTTCTCTACGTAGTCTCCCCCTTTCCGATGCATTTGCGCCAGCGTTCCACAAGAGCGGTCATTCCGGAGGAGAAAAAAAAAACTCCGGACGCTCGCGAATCCACTCGTGCACTGCCTCGTGCATCGCCTCTTGAACCTCGCCGTCAGTCTTGGATTTTCCTCCGCTGAGCGCGTCTATTAGGGGCCCGAACGGGAGGAAGTCATCACGAGGTCAAGGCTGTAGCGTGGATGCACCTTAAATTCAAGCCTCGTGATGGTGTCTTTTGTTTTCTGTGCCGTGTGCGGGCCGGCATCATCATGCTGCAGCAGGACTCCTCTCATCACGCCACGACGTTTTGCGATGATGAACCGAACCATGACTCATGTTCCCTAGAGAAGCGATTTCATCAACGGTGACTCGCCGATATTCTCCGCACAAGGGCTTCCACTTCCATGATGCTCTCTGGAAACACTGCTCGATGAGCTTGTCCCAGACGCAGGGCATCGTCGGCACTTCTTTCCCTGTTTTTAAACTTGTTAATCCACTCGTACACTTTTGACCTAGGAATTATCACCGCACTCTGTCGTCTACTGTGAATTTCGTAGCCATCCGCACCTTTAGCAACCAAAGCTGGGAATTGAACCCGGACCTCCTGCTTGCCGGTCAGCAAGCATTGTTACTTTGCATGTGCTACCATCACACCACGGAACTCGAGAAATTTTGTCATGCCTCTTCCTGTCATCTCAATATGTACAGTCGTTTGTTACAGAGAGCACCGTCAGGCTGTACATTTTGCTGTAGGGAGAGGGCATTTGTTTCACATTGCTGCCACAACGGAAAAGTCCTCCTGCTGCAATTCACTTTTTCAGAGCCTCAGGATAACGATGCTCACTGGTGCTAATGTGTCGGCGAGGCATTTTCAGGAATTATTCGTCAGTACTGTGCCACACATGCGCTAACTTCCTTCTGTGCTAAAGTCGAACCAGTTCTTGGAAATTGCCTGTTCCAGAATCAGTGGTATCTGTGCCATAAAGCTAATGCTAATAGCCCATGAGCTAATCGGTGATGCAAGGGTATTGAATGTGCTGGGACAACGAAACAGCAAAGTCGTCTTGGGTCTCATGAAAACCTAAACCGATGCGTTCACAATGGCGATTGTGACAATCGGCTCGAATATCATGATGAATGCGTTTAGGAACAAATCTCCCTGTGTACTGTAAGCTGTGTGTGTATAAATCTAATGAAGCGGTTCAGTTCCGAATGGGCAATGCGATGGACAGAGGATGTCAAGGAGACGTTATGCTCACAATAGACGATTCAAATTTCCGCCTATTAGACAGCCAGCGTAGCGGCCGCGGGCCGCTAGTATATTTTATTACACTCGCTGAACCGTGTAATCGACGTACGAAAAGCAGACAAGGCTATTGGACCAAGAGGGGAGAACCCTACACGACGGGTAAAGCTTCGGAAAAACTTATCGACCCTCAGGCATTTCCTTTTTCCCCCTAATCGTGTGCCCCGATGCAGATCTCGAGTCATACGGCTACTATATTCATGAACTCACCCTGGTCCTCCCGGTTGGATGGCGTGAGACGGCTTCACGATCACCTCGATCGTGCCCTAGTTCATGCTCAGAGGTTAAAATTGCACCGACTCTAACCGAGAGCCCACATTTTTCGATCCCTCCTCGATCGGCAAAAGAAACCTTGCTGATTAGGCTCGGGAACTCGCACCTCGTCGCGCCACGCAGGACTCACTCTCGTCGCGATGGATCCGGAAATTCGCGACGTTCTCGATCCACCTCTCGGAATCGGCAAAAAATTGAGCCGATCCCGCGAGAGGTCTCACCGAACGACACAACCCCTCTGATGCACTTTCGATCGACACGGTCACTCCAAGGCATGATTGATGTCTGGCGAACTTCATTATGGAAGCAATTTCATCGAATCGCTCCAGTAATTTCTCGAGGAATTCAGACGACGGGTTGGATGTCTTTGAAGATGGAATTTATTCTCATACGAGAGTGCGTTAAGAATGAATCAACGGTGCCATGAGCGAGGTGAAATCGGACACGAAGATAAAAAATCGGAGATGCCTATAGTTTAAAAAAAAAGGTCAAGGCCACTCCCCGAGAAACGCATCCTCGTCTTAAGGTTTGAAACCGCGATAGTTCGCGAGGTTTCTCGGAGCTGCAGGAGCCGGTGCCGCTTGAGCCGGTGCCGCTTGAGCCGGTGCCGCTTGAGCCGGTGCCGCTTGAGCCAGTGCCGCTCGAGCCGGTGCCACTCGAGCGTTATTCATCGTCAATATTCGGAAGAGCGCTGTTGCCCTTATGATTTCAGGGTCGCTTGGAGGAATGGACGTCTCCACCGGTTCCGACTTCTGTTGGGATAAAAAGCATCCATCTTTACTTGTTGCTTTTTTTCCCCTCAAAGTAGAAAAGGGTCAGCTAGAGTCCTATTCCAGTCTGGTTTCATGTCTCCTAACGGTTTCGCCGTTGGGAGGATTTCTCGATTTGCTTGCTTGACGGAGGCGAAATCTGGTGTTCGAGATGTTCAGGATTCGCCTTTAACGGAGAATTCAAAATTACTTTCTATCTCGAATTTGAGATGACGGAGATGTTCACCTTCACCTTCATTGACCTTTGCATCTCACTATATCGGGGTACCCAATTATCAACTAGGGAGAAAACGCAAGCAAAATCAGGAAACCATCCCTATAGATTCCTTTGTTAGAGCTGCCTGGCCGGTGCGAATAAGAAAAGAAAAATCGAGTTCGTTTCCGTCGACTGCAGAGAATCCATATTGATCCATTCACAACCTTCAAATGCAAGAATTTCTTGCTTTTCGAGCTATTTTCATTCTTTTTTTCGTCATTCTTTTTTTTTTCGAGGAAGAAAGGCTAGCATTCTCGCGAATTCTCGCGAACATCAGAAGCGGATATGACCCATTATTTGGAAACTCGGCGATTTCATATCGTCAGCGACTTCTCTTGGTCTTTTCTGATTTAGTATGCAATACAAGAGCTTGAAGATTTCTCTTTTTTTTCAGTTTTCTTATTTTTCCATCGACCTTCTCTTTTTTGCTCAATGGAGCAAATGAATATATATGGGTGCCCCCACTCGCTTTCTGAGAAATGGTGTATGAATCCGGAATGAATCATGCGAAAGTAGTTAAGCGGCGGCGCCCCTTTCCAGCTGAAATGCAGCAATAAATACAGCAAAAAGCAAGTCAAAAAGCCCCATGAATGTGAATCCCGTAGAATCCATTCTGAGGGGACTCGTGGAACTTTTTGTATCCTGCAGGGAGATCCCAACACGGTTCATAGATTCTTCTAAGGCTCCCGAACTGAGAAACCTGTATGAAGGTGTCAGAATGGCTGACATTCTCGGCAGCAGTTTCTTCTCAAAACATTCTCTAGACTGATCGATTGCAATTGCCAAAGGATGATTTTTCTCCTACCCAGGCAACATATCCACATGTCCACAATAAGCCAATGTAGGGCACTCAGAGTGGCACACGAAATGACTACGTGTTTCATGTAAAGGAGGGCGTGGCATAATGGAGGGTGGGGCACGATAGATGATCCCATCCAGTGCCTCGAGAATCCTTGATATTGTCATGAAACTCCTAATACGAGCGTATACCACCACCCTCCAGTTTGTCGAAGTTCTACATGCACGATGTGGACCAGACGCTGCACCTTAATAGGTCCGTCCCACGGTCCCACGTTGGGCCAATGTCGGCAGCCCACTTTCGGAGAGCGTTCCGGGATGGTTCTCACCGTTTGGCCCTGTTGGCTCGTCTCGTGATCCCGTCTCGAGCCAACGTTAAATGCTCACGTCTGGAGGGAATTTTAGAAGCTCATAAGAGTCCTGGAGTAAACTCGTGAGCTCCACGTTTCTCTTTTCCTCCCTTGCTGCGGAGCTTCGCGAAGACTCGGCAACGTCGCCGAGACTCTCTCGACGCGTAATACTCCAACGAGTACTACATTCTCTCGAGTGTCTCCTCCGAAAGCTTTCACTTTCTGCACGGAATCATGAACGTGTGGGATTTCTTCTCGTCCACATCTGGCGCTTTTCGGGCTCTGAAAGTGCGCCTCCCATAATGCCCATTCGGTAGATTTCTTTTAACGCACCCTCGCATCCCCAACACACTCCCATGAACCTCCTCTAAAGGAACCAGACCCCAACCTCCAGAATGAGAGAATAATAGTTGTACTAATTTTGAGTCCGTGGAATGAGATTCCCAGTGGAACTTCTCCAGAATTCATTCCACCAGAATTGTCATACAATTTTCATAAGTCTGAATGGGCGAATTTTCCTTTATAGAAGGTATTTGAGAATTTCTAGGTATCCATTATCCCCCCCCCCCCCCCCAAACAACTTTTGGGGGGGGGGGATAATGAGTACCGAATGAGAAGTACAAGGGTCTTATTTCTGTAGTATCGGGGACTGACTCTCTATGTCACACGGTATATCGGTCCAAAGCATGCGGTAGTGACGACAAGGTCCACAAGTTGGATCAAGATGGCGATCACACTGTTTCTACACTGAATCGATAGAAATCCATGTCACAGCCAGGTCCCTTTAAGAGTTGGTCTTGGTCGCATTAGCCCAAAACCAATGGTTCTTGAGCTAAAAATTGGCGTTAATGCTCCAGTGTTAGGTTAAGCGCTTAGACCAAAGGGCCTCCGAATGAGTATTTCCTCGTTCTGGAGGAATCATAACAAGCAATACCCATTCTCAAGGCAGGAACAGGGCAGCCTGGATCGCTTAAATATTAACGGGCAGAGTGGATCAAAGACGGCTCCATTATAACCCATTATTATGTCGTCGTCGCTTGCGAGCAGGAGCGTGTTCGATCGACTCGGCCATGTCAGCTACCTAGGCGACATCTTCCATCGTTTGCGGAAAACTTCGTTCCAGTAACCTAACTTGTAGATGGCTTGCCCGCACTTGTGACAAATGTTGGCTAATATTAGCGCCAATTGTGGGTGTATATGGTCAGCCCAACGCGATGTTGGCCCCAAGCGTTCCCAATCGCAGCCAACGCGGGCCAAACGAGGTGAGCAGTTGAGTTCATCCTGCTGAGTATCATCTATTTCTTCTGCAATTTCAGATATTGTTTCCCTTTCCATTTCCCTTTTTCTATTTAACTGGTAAAATTGGAGGCTATTCCGCTTCTCATCAGGATAAGTTTGTGTTAACCCAAAGTTTTCGTTGATCCTAATAAAAAAATAATGGCAAGCTTTAAAGTGAAAGACAAAATTGCGAACTGTGCCAAAACTCTGACTTGGCAACGAAACAACTCAATGGGGTTCCGCCAAAACTGCATTTCTATAGCAGTGCCAGCACGGAGATCATTCACAGTTTCATGAATTAAACAAATATTTCATGCAAGAGATTTTTTTTTTAACGAAGTCACCTGTGAAGCCTTTGTTGTCATACGCGAAAATGTCGAGTTCTTTATTTCGAAATTAAATGATTGCGTATGGCATCTACGAACAAAAAATGTATGAAGTACTGACAAATTTATTTTTGCTGTTTACTTTTTAAGGAAACCAGAAGCATACATCTGGATTGATTACCTTCTTGGATACCCAGTATTTCAGGTCAGAGCAAGCCGTGAACTGATATGCATAATGAAATGCATAATATGCATCGACTGGTCAATTTTGTTCATTCGTTTGCGAAAACTGCATCGATTCAGACTACATGACAATGCTTGTCATTGACGAGAACCGCATCTTCCTATCACCATCGCAAAATGATCATAATGGATCACAATGTGTGCAGAATGAATTAAACAGTGCATTTTTTTGCCATTTTCTCCCGAGTTGACTACGTGAATATCTTTTTTCACGTCGACACGGTCTGACCTCTGGACCAAAAATTAACGATTTTCCACGATAACGAGTAATGTTTCACCTTGGTCTCCTTGTCCTTGTCCATCACGTTGGCGAAGGCCCTGAGTTTGTAATTCGGCCCCAAAGCTCGGTCATAGAGCCAAGGGAACATTTCGTGCCAGGTGAATTCCCTCAAGTCCGTATTGACTCCCTCTCCCATCAAGTGTGAGACCTTCGAACGAGACGGCTTGCGTGCATTTTCATCCAAGAAACGAAAATGGAAAAAAACGAAATCCACTTCCGTGACGTCATGGAGCTCACCTTGACGTTCCTGTCAATGAGCCAATTGAGCTCGAAATCAACATCATCTTCCCCGTATGGATCGATGAGAGATTGAGCCACTTTCAGCCACCCGACGTATAATACCAACTGAGGAGAAAAAAAGGCCATTATCCTTCTTGGCTGAACGAACTCACGCCCTTTCGATTGTCTTGGCGTTTCCGTCCATGTTACCAGAAATATGGACGTGATGGGGGCGTAGGCGTTGATGTCATCTATGTCGGTGTTATCGCCTTCGACGGACTGGCTGCCGAACACCAAGGCGCAGTAGTAGCTGTACGTGGCAATCGTCACCACCTGATGAAGACACCGCATTCACAACAGATGCTCCTTGGACTTAAGGAGAGGATTCTTCTCGTGCTCTATTTTACCGAGTGGAAAGTAAAGTGACGCTACCGATTAAAATACATTATTCTGTTGATATGCTTAAGAATACGAGCAGGATGGACTGAATGAGACTAACATTTTTATTTTTGTATTTGATACTTGATGTGAGTAGTTACGTAATAAAGTACAATTTAGGCCCAACTATTGAATACAAAAAGAAAAGAATGAAAAAAGTCCAGTGAATGGGATCGGTCGTCCATCCCAATTTCACGTGGTTACGACTCAATTCATCCTTCCGGACAATGAACTCCTCTTCATCAAGCGGAATGAACATCGTCCGTCCACCTCGTACGAGATCTACCGACTGGTCCCCTCATTTTGGATTGGAAAGCCCTTCTTTTTTTTTTATCCCTCGGAGGGTGTGCGACAGACGTGTCCAAGCCAGAGGATTTGGGGTCTACCGATCCGCAGAAGTAGCTGCTCGATTTGGAGCCATTCGCGGATGGCAGAACTCCGTAACCGCTCGTAACGATACCGATAACCCCGTCGCTTGAACCTCATCGAGACAGCTTGTATTCGGGACCTCATTAATTCTGTCATTTCTCACGGTTCGTGGCCATGAGGGTGGGGGAGGTAAACGTTCTCAAAAACCGGAAGATGACGCCTCTTTGGAAATTTCAGTCTCGGCAACCACGCTCCGCCAGAGTTCCCGGAAGACTGCGAAAGCTTTGGAGAAACGGCTTTCGACTTCTTTTCCGTATCTTCACGTGTCGTCCATTGCTCGAGAACCAGATCCCATGGTACTCAAACATCTCTATCCGTTTCAGCAGGACCCCCTATAAAGTAAGGCGTACTGTAAGTAAGTTCCGGGAAAACCATAAGCTGCGTCGTAGAGAAGCTTAATTTGATTCCGACCGCAGAACATTCCGACTCGAACCGGTCTAGTACGCTCTGAATCTTCTGTCGAGGCCGAGCAAAAAGGACGGCATCGTAGAGAGAAGTATCTTTATCTCGATACCGCCGATGTCGACCCTCTCGAGGACCAGCCTGTGTCTATAGATCTCGTCCATGCACACGAGCAACGGTGAAGGGGAGAGAACGTGAGCCCAACACAAAAAAGAATCCTTCCTTCATCTGGCTCGCTCTAACGCAACTCCTGCATTCACCGAACGGCCCGCCGCCATTCATCATTCATCCTTACTCTTGCAGCACACATCACGGCCTGTCACACTCTCATTTCGCCTTTTCGAGATCCTCAGAGCACATGTGAACTTGTTGACGTTCTCCCAATGCTTCTCGAGGGTCCGGCGCCGAGTGATGTGCAGCTCTACGATGCTGCGCCCTTTTCGAAATCCGCAATCTTCCTATCGGCTGACTTTAACAGTGCTCGAATTATCTTACCCAGCACCTGCCGTAGACCTTACCACGCGTGCCGATGAAGGTGTTCCCACGGTAATCGGTACACTCCCTCGAGCCCCCCTTCTTAGAAAACGGAACCACCACACGGATCTGCCAACGAATGCCGTCCCCGATTCTCGTACGGTTCGAAATAGCCGATGCCTCGTGTCACCCTTCGATGCCCATCGCTTTCGAGGTCTCTGTCCGGATCTCTGTCCGGATCTCTGGCCGGATCTCTGTCCGGATCTCTGTCCGGATCTCTGGCCGGGAGACTTTCCGTTCTTCGGTCTAGCCATAGCTTCTTCAACTTCCTTCATGGTGAGAGCACTCTCCGCCTAGATTTCCTCAACGGTTGAGTGATTTTGAGAACCGCTTTCAGGGCCCATGCCAATGTTTGGTCCATAGACCGATGCTAGAACATTCTAGTCCCTCGGGTTCGAGTTCTAGGGAACATTTCTCGTCCCACGAATGGGAATTGCGATGGCGAGAGTGCCTTTCGAATGCTCCATGGCTAGCCATTACGAACCTGAGAAGGACTAGAAGCGTTTTGGGCCTCAATATCAAGTAGCAATTCGAAACCGAAGCGTAAGATTTCGCTGACACGTACGATACGGTTGCCGACATAATGGTGCCCAGTTTTTCATTGGCCCAAAATATGTTTTAACGATGGAGATATCATTGACTAAGCAGCTTTCTGCGAAAAATAACCCCAACGTGGAGGAGAGCACTTTTTTTTTTCATCTTCATCTTCCTCGAGAAGTTCTAGTACTCACCGGCGATGACTCGTCATCGCTCTTCCCGGCTGGAAACCTTGTTATAACTAGGGCTGTCACGATAGATCGATGCATCGATGGTTGGAGATATCGATAGTTTTCGACCATCGCGATGTATCGGCAAAAGATTTTAAAGGGGAAATTTGCCATTGGATTGAAGCGAGCACAGTACAATACAGTCCGTTCGGGCGGGGAAAGAAGCGGCGCGACCCTCAGGGGCGAGCAACTTCTTATCGCGATCAAATTCTGGAAATGACTGACTATAAGAAAGACGGGAAGGAAAAAAAAACATGGCGGATCGAAGACAGAAAGTGGGGAAGGAGAGGCGGGGGGAAGATCGAGAATATTTTTTTCTCTTCTTCTAAAGAGAAAAAAAATTACGTGAACGGGTTTGGCAGCTGATTCTCAACGGCAATAAGGAAAAATTACGCATAAATGGAAGTCATCTTCAATAGTTTGACCCATGGTCGGTTTCATTCATCCCAGAAAATATTGAATCCTCCGACCCCCCCCCCCCTCCCTTCCCGATGCATCGATGCACTTTCGATAGTTCGGGTCGATGTTTCGATGTTTTCAAAACTGCTATCGTGACAGCCCTACTTATCACTGTTGACCTCTTCCACAGATTTGATGGAGCCCTTGGATGTTTTAATTTTCCTCATCGATAACTATTGAATGGGATCCATGACGCCAGAAGCCGTGATCGGCAAGTTTTATCTCCCATTGCAAAATTGAGTTTTTCGCGAAATCAAGGGAAGCAGTAGGCCGGAGCAAGTTTTGCCCCACGAGAAGGTCAAATACTTGAATGCTAAGGAATCGGTGGAAGAATTTTCAGCATTCTATGTTCAACAGTACAACAGTTTGGATACGAGAGCGCTGACTGTCACACACACACACACACACACGCACAACCAAGTGCAAATTTCTGTGGTGGTCAATGTTTTTTTCGCCCGTGTTATATCTTTAACCTTACCCCCCTCCGGTTTGAAGAAAAAGTTTTGAGCAGAAACGAGGAGAACGTGCGTCAAAGCGATTTTTTCTTTGGGAGTGCTACGTACTCAAAACTCGTCCGCAAAGCTTTAGGTCTATCTCACTCCAGTTCGAATTAATATCACGATGATAAATGTAGGTAGTGATCATGGAACGATAAAACTATTGATATATATTTCGACGATTGGACACAACTGGGGAAAAGTATTTTTACGATTAGACGCCCCTCTCCCTCCCCTCGCAGATGTAATCGCTTACCAAGTTAGCTCATCCGTCGTCTTCAGATAAAATACACCCAAAATTTTTGCGACTGCCATCAGGCAGAGGAGTCGATTCGAAAGAGAACCTGCGAGTAGACGATCGGGACTTGAATGTACTCCACGTGCTGACAGAGGGCGCACGTCCGACGAACGGCAGCCACGGCGTCGACGATCCCTCGAAGGCCCGTGTCGCTCTCGATCCGATTCTCGTCCCGAGCCTGGTGCGCGATGCTCGTCGCCCAGGTGAAGGGGATCCAGAAGAGGGTTCGCATGGAATCTCTCGCTTGCACTTCTATCATCCGGCGTTCGCCTTCTTCCATCAGCCCTTCACGCATTAAGGTTATCACGAATAATGGAGATGGAATCGCTCCCAAAAGAATTGGGTGTGATTTTGTTTTTGACAGCAAATCCAATAAGTTTTCATGACTAGGAAGGAGAAAAAAACTTTATTTTCTCTATCGTGGCTGATAAGTCCAAGAGCATTTTAACGGCCTGGTCGAAGTACAATGCTTCAAATATCAATTGTTCCCAATTTGCTCGAGCTTGAGAGGGAAAAGGTATCCCACATGCTTGGAGACACTTCCAAGAATTAATGGTTCCTCAGAATTGAAATCAGAAATAAATTCAAGTTTGAATTTAATTTTAAAAAGGTAAAGGTATTTTTTGCACGTTACTTGTAAATGTCTCACTTATCTAATATTTATAGACGATCGTGACTGACTGACGCTAATTCTATCCATGTTCTAGAGAAGTTAGAAATGTGAAACTTGGTACACATGTACTTTTTGGGATGTAGAGCTCAGAAAAAATCCGAATTTTGAGGTACATGCCCTGGGGGCACCCATTTTGGGGAGAGATGCTTTCAATGATATATATTTGCTTCAGTCAAACGGAGAGACAAGGAAAGCTGAATCTTGGCATGGACTACTATGTGCCTACTGAGGCACACATTTCAGGAAAAATGTCAAGTTTTCAGATGCATGCCCTGGGGGCATACTTTTGGGGATGACCTTTTCAAATAATTTTTTTTGTCCTAGCGAATTGGCCAGAGAGAGAAAGGTGAAACTTGATACATAAGTACCTTGTGCGAGTCAGAATTCAGAAAAATTCAGGCTTTGGAGGTAAATGCCCTTGGGGCACAAATTTTAGGGGGAAATATTTAAGAAAAAAAATTTTTTTGCTTAAGTCAAACAGATAAAGATGGAAAGCTGAAACGTGACATGGACGTACCTACTGAGATTCTGAGATCAAGAAAAATGTCAAGTTTTGGATACATGCCCTAGGGGCATATTTTTATTTGAAAAAGTGCTTTTCTGATTCAATGGAGAGAACTAAAGAAAGTTGAAACTTGGAGCAGAAGTACTTGTTCGATTTGCTGAGTACATGTCCTACTTTTCAAATATGACCCATCAGGGCAGATTACGAAGAGATTTGAAGTAAGGCATACACGAAACAATGTGGGTAATTATTCCGATGAAAATATCGGTTTGTTCTCTCTCGATACACATTCCGATTGGCACATACTTTTAATAGGTTTTTGCCACTTTGAAAATAAATGATTGAATGAATCACTATCCTGGTAATGGAGACGAAATAGCACGCACTTGTGAATTTTTATGGCAGCCGAATTCGTAGGCATGAAGGCCTGTACAATTCTTTAATCGCTTGTCGTTGATAGAAGCTTAAACTTCTCGCCTCCAAGCAATACCATGCATTGCCAGAAATTTCCTACGAGTCGATTTTGGGTTATTTCTTCTCAGTTGAAAATAATTCAACCGGATTAGTGCATCCATCTCATTCATCTCGTCGATTTCGGATGCGAGAGCCCGACACACGAGATGCGCTTGTTCCCCTGTGACGCGAATCTGCGAAGATGCTGGGAGGCACACGGAGTCGTTATCGGTGTTGGTGACTTGCCTGCTTCGACGAGGCTCTTCGTGGACGGGAAGCGTTTCTTGATTCGGCTGCTGAAGAACCTCAGGCCGCAGACGACTCCCAGGTTCACGTGTCGCAGGATCGTCCTTCTCATCAATTGCGATCGCGAATCCTGCATGATTTCGGGAAAAAGGCCAAGAAATTACGAGGGGCAATTAAAATGTTCTTGGTCTGATTTTGTATGCTCGTCATCATCGGACGAACAGAAATCTCTTCAAGTAAGAATCCTGTGCTGAGTCTTGGAAGTGGTAAAATGGCAAAGTTCCTTGTCTACTAGCTTGAATTTGCCTTTTTAAATGAATTCTTGAAATGGACTTTTCGACATACTTGTCGAAACTGAAAGAAATGATAAAAACAACTTAGAAATTCTGGGTGCCTTAAACCCTTGCAAGAAAGTTGACAAAAAACGTGACGCTCCTGGAACCTTGAAAGAATTCGAGCGACGCGCGTGACTCGCAAAAAAGAAGACCTTTTAAAGGAAGCGACCAGAGGTCAGGGCGATCATCAACATTGAACTGAGGAATCTGACTGACAGTCTGAATGCCGCAAAAAAAAGTAAGTTCTCAGAGAGCTCACGAATCGTCAGATCCCGGACTTTCTGGACAATTTTTTTAATACTTTGCTGCTTACCTCTATTAAAATCCAAGCCGACTTAAGATGGCCCCTGATGAACTGCTTTTTTTTTTAAATCGCCTGTCTAATACGTTCATCCAGCAGCCTGAAGCATCTGCTCGAAATTCGGCAGCGCACAACCTACACCGAGTCCCTCGGGTGCGTTTATACGATTTCACAAGCATTTCCTTACTATGTATTATTAATTTTGTTTTAATTTTCACTATGAAATTTTGGTTCTACGAAGTTCTTCGTCCATTTTTGCCAAGCATGTCAAAGAGTTTTTTTTTTAAACATAATCCTACTCATTTTGTTGATGAAATCTGTTAAGCCGTTGAGCATTAACCGTCGACCGTTTTTCTTGCCCATTCCCCTCTGCACATCAAATAACGAAGTTACAGAACGAGACCGGGAAATTTCATCATTTCTTCCTTGCACAAACTTAAGCCAAACGGCATTCAGAATCGGCAAATGACGGCGGAATCGGAAAGAACGGACGAATAAAAAATCGATGAAAATGCTGACTCCTTGGACGGGAAAAAATTTGATCTGATCTGATCTGATCTGATAAGATCTGATGCAGCCTGCAGATTCTCGTCATAATCGAGAAACGCGAATGGATTACCAAGAATTCCGAAAAGAAAGTGCAACGAGCCCCTTCCTCCTTCCAATTATTTCAATTTCATAGAACCGAAGGTAGAGGTCCAAACTTCACGTTTTCATTTTCTAAAAGTGTTGTGCGTGTGGCTACATCTTTCGCAGGTTTAAACGCGATGGAGGATTTAAAGTCAAATTATTAAGCGCCCCAAAATTCAACATTGACGCACTAATAAAGGAAAAAAAGTTGCCATCGTGCTCCAAGTTTCAAACATAGGGAGTTTCACGACTGACCACGGAGTGCCCGGGGATCACAGAGGACTGGCTGATATTATAGTCAGATTGGTGCAATTAGCCAAAATATTCTCATATGTTTTATGCTCCTACCCAAGTAACACAAGATGTTCCAGCAACGTTTAGGAAATGTTGATGAACAATGTTGCATCTATGTGTAAATGTCCAAAACGTCAACGTTGCTCAAATGTTGCTAAGGAACAGTGCATTTACGTTGCAAATCGCTACTTATTCATTATATACACGTTGCAGATACGTTTCAGGATTTATGTTGCTGCAATGTTGATTAAAAACGTTGCTTCACGGGCACCTAATCTGGGCCTATATTGGCATTACGGAAAAGCATAGGCTTCACTGGTCCTGAACCGGACCGATATTCGACCAATATTGAATAATTTATTTCATCCTTTCGTACCATATACTTTACCTCTCTACTCAGACATTCTCATCAACAGGGAGAAGCCTGTACTGGTTTTACCCTCTANCCCTCCATCTTCCCGGAAATGCAGAATAAACAGGATCTCATTTTCAACTGGCGTGACTTTTTTTCGGCATATTTTTCTTTTCGGTGTCTTTGGGGCTGTCTCCTCCGAATCCCCCCCCCCCCCCCCCCCCCCCCCCCCCCACGCAGAGGGGGTATGCACCGATACGCTGCGGAAAATTAAATTAACTTGATTGAGGTCCCAAGCATCACCTTTCAAGCTAATTTCATAAAGATCTTGTTTTTAAGTGAGTCACGGTCAGAATTTTTGCGTGTATCAAAGCACAAGGCATTGGAAACGAAGTCCAGCAAATCGTTTACTTGCGACGAATATTTAATTTAAGGGTCGGTCATCCCATCAAGTGGTTAACCCTAGTATTTCGGTCGGTGTTTCCACGAACTGAACATCAATATTTCACACATCCCCAGCGAAACGCCTAAAAATAATCCACTGAGAGGGCTTAGGAAGCAAATATGTGACTGTACGCAGACCCTGACGAATATATAATGCATGTGCATTCAAATCAATGCTTAGAGCATGTTTAATGCTCTAAGCATCGGTGATGAGATTCTTCGCGCGGGCTCCAATCCAGTCTACCACGGTTGCCGGATGTCACGCTGGAGTTTTGTCGAATTTTGCATTTTTGGACCGCTTCTGCTTTCGAATCGGTTTCTCAATCATCCGTTCATAATTTATTATACGTTTTCGCTCAGAGTTCATGGGGTGAAGTGAGATCGAAAGAGTGCTTAACGGTGGCGGATTCACGATCGAAGGATGCGTGAACAACCCTGCCGATGTCGTCAGACATCGATTTGAAATTTGGAGGCAGTCTGTCCCGAGACATCCTCGTCGAGAGGGTTCGAGAAACACGAAACAGGAAAGGGATAACGTTACGCTTCTCGCCGAATGGTTTGGGAAACCCTGAGGTGGATCAGAGACCCCGATTTGCCCGGTTAGTCGTTTAGGCCCGAGATTCCTTTCGACCGAAGTCTGCTTCGGGGACAGTTCGCGGGTTGCCTAGGCTCGTGACAGGGATTAGTGACTTTTAACCCATTGAGTACCGTGAGAATGCGGTCTGCTGTCGATAAGTCGAAGACTGTCCCGCGTTTTTCAATATTTAACCTTTGAGCGTTGCCATCGCGTATCCGCGATTGCTCCGAGAGTCCTCTGCGAACGTCCATAGTTCTACGCTCGTTTCACAACGTAAGCCCACCTTCGGCAAAATAACCGAGTCGACGGGACACGCCCTACTGTCATTAAATGCACCTCTTCCACGGTTAAGGCCGCCTCGCCCTCACGCAAAGCCACCATATTCGCAGGGAACTCGCCAGTCGGCGGGGGAAGAACCCGCCCGATCCCTCGGTCTCGCTCGGAACCTCCTTTCACGCGGCCACCGAACCTGGCCAATTTCGGTCAAGTTCCCGGTCTGCTTTCAAATTCATTCCATCCATGAATAAACTCTACAAGAAACCGAAGACGAAGGCTCAGAGAGTAGGAGAACGTGCAGCGAACGGTCGTCACCCTTCCTCCTCCCTCCCTCCACCCTCCAACCTCCTCCCTCCCTCCACCCTCCAACCTCCTCCCCACCTCGCAAACATTCGTGCAAACAGCGTCTCCTCGCAACCTCTTGTTTCCCTCGTTCCCCTCCTATCCTCGGTAACCTTTTTTTTTTTTTGTTCTCGTTCCCCTTCTTTCCTCACACCTTGGCTTCTGCTGCTATTATGTTCGAAGAAGGCTCGAAACTGGATCGGGCTTCGACCAGCTTCTTTTACATTCGTTTCGCTATGAAAACGAAATCGTCCGATCAAAAAATGGGCGCCGATTCGATCGCACCGGGAAACTGTCATTTGAGACAATATGGGAAAAGCCGATGATTTTTTCAAGATATTTTGGCAGACGTTGCGCACGCCGACAGACACAGATCCCCGGAAGATTGCGCTTTGTCTCCTTCCCGTTTGCCTCGAATTTTAACATTTCATCTCTCGTTCCCTCCTGAAGCGAAGCGAATCCGGTAAATCGAAGCAAGGCATTCTTCTCAATTATCCTAATAATAATAATAAAATCCTCCTCATCCCCCACAACAACCCTCACGCCCTCTCGAGACCCGATTGACCTCCTCGACCTCGATCGCTCCCCGCCCGCAATCGAAGTCGTCTGCTTTTCCACGTCGCTCAAACCCAGAGTCACACAGTCGTGAAATTTTCATCGGAACTTTCTCCCCTGCATTCACTTCCCCGCCCTTTCAATTCTCACGTAAGATACTATCCTCCTCGTTCGTAGGCTTCGGCGGGAAAGCAACGGAAAGCTCACTAGGCAACACTCTCACCACTAGGCAACACTCTCACCACTAGGCAACACTCTCACCACTAGGCGACACTCTCACCACTAGGCAACACTCTCACTACTAGGCAACTAGCGCAAATGAAGGCGAAAGCGATCGATGAGGCCAATTCTGTCTGGCAACTTACCATCCAGGAACCCTGTCTTATCTTCCTGCGGTTTTGGTTTATGTCTTATCGGTCGTCAGATAATATTTTTTGCGATTTTTGGATTTGTAGCCGAGGAATGTGGGCGGAACAGAATTTCCCATTTCTCTGGAGTCAGCTTAATAAAGCGGCGATTGTGAAAATATTTCCGTTCATTTCGTCCACAAGGGATTGCCATTTTTTTAAAGTTATTTTGCATACTTCGCATCATTTCCGGAGATTGATTATTTCAACGCTCAGCTGCAACTTATTCCTTATTGGATCCTCCCCTTCTGAAAATAATGATTTAAAAAATTCGTCGCCAAACATTCGAAGATCGGTTTTGTACCACAACTGGTACGCCGAGGAGCATGCCCGCTGAAACTTAATTTTGTGCAGCTGGCTACAACCAGCCGAATCACCGTATCGGTTTGCTTCCACCCCAAATAAAGGAGTTAGCGAAGTTAATTTGCGAATCGCACCCAAACAGAACGAAGAATGACGCAACAGCGTTCCACTGTCTGCTCGCAAAATACGCAGTAACCATTGATTCTATTTCCAGTCGTTGCCGACACGTGGACACCTTATGGACTCCCAGGAAATCACCCTGGTAATCGGGCGAACTCGGTTACTTATTCATGCGCTGTACACGCTGCCTAGGAAACATCCAAGGCGAAGGAATCCAAGGCGAGAAGCTGGAAGAACCATATGCTCTGTGGATGGCTACTTTCCGCGGTTCGGGTGGGGGCATTTCGGCCCGGGGGACCCCAGGTCGAAATGCCCCCCACCCGACCCAAGGTCGTCCGACTTCAGGAGTGGCGAAACGAATGCGGCGGAAGCCACGAACGAGGAAGACCGGAACGCGGCACGTGCTGGTGCAGACGAGGCCCTTCGAGATCGGAATAACGGCATTAAAAAAAACTTCTGCACGAGATTCTTGGGGTGCAGAAATTCTCTTCTCGTCGGGTTTCCCATGGATAAAAAGAAAATGGCTCGAGTCAATTTCTGCCATGAAATGCTGCAGGAATTCGACCGAGGAGCTTCGAAATCGGTGTGGTGGCGGCAAGATCACCCAGTGATGATTTCATCTAAAAACACTCTTTCGCGGGTTAACCGCCTTTGGAAACCATACCAAATCAGCATATGCAAATCTCTTTGGGTCGAGGTTAATAACCTCGAGGATATTGACCTCTTTTAGCCTTATGCTACGCGTCGCCATATTGCTAAAAGATTGCTGAATCTTATTAAATCCCTGGGGAAAAAAAATGCCAACAAATTTAATTAGGACCAGGGGACATTTAATGCCATTTGGCAACAACTTTTGGAACGTTCCTCGCATAGTTCTTCTGTCAAATGTTTTTCGCGCTTTGCTCGAGGTCGATCCTACTTTTGTCCCGATTCGCCTTCGGATAATCGGTAGCAGCGCTTTTTGCTTGCCCGATTGAGTAGACTAATGCTGTAATTGCTTAAATTCCTTGTCCTCGTATATTGGAACAATTATTGGCATCGGCAATCAATCGCCTGAAGATTATTTCTGAAGAATTGTTCGGTGCTGGAATAAACAAAAAAAAAAAAGAACCGTGGAACAATGAAAGGATTCGTTGAGAGTGAATATGTTCAAAAAGGTTGAAGTGCAGGAAAAGTCCAATGTTTGTTGAATATACGATAGTTTACAGATCCTGGGAACATTTCATTTCTCTCCCCATTCTTCTGCTCACGGGTGCCGTCATTGCGCAACGTCTCAACAGAGGCGAACGTATCTCGTGAACGTATCTCGTGAACGTATCTCGTGAACGTATCTCGTGAACGTATCTCATGAATTTAGCGTTCACGAGCAGTCGAGAAGGATCTGTGTAAGCCAATGCGTTAATTGGCTTACAATACGACATCCCTGATCTGAGTAAGTCAATCGCATTCGTAAACTCATGAAAACGTTTATATTGTCTCTTTTGCCTGGTGGCAACGTTTCCTTGCTCAATTAAGTATTATTGGCGCGCCAGGACAACGCCAAGAAGATTTGGTTTTTCTTCCATGCTGAAAAATGAGATGTAGACATTTTTACTCCTAGTCTTGAGGGATGGTGGAATAAAGTCATTGGAGCTCTACTAAATATATTTCCCGTATCATAATATCTTACAAAAATTTAATGCCTCATGTAACGTACACGGATCCTTCATGACTTTTCTTACGGGTTACATCGAGCACTCATAATTTCTGGTACCTGTCCCCTCAGATAAGTGGTGAGATAATGGATGACGTCATCCGGCCACGGCAGGGTGCCCCACAGCCCCCACCACCGATTAAGGACCGTGGTAACGTAGAAGCCAAGGACGAACGTCAGCGGGATGTTCTTGTTGAAGTCCCGGCAGTAAACCACCACCTTCTGGAACACGCTGGGGACATTCGCATTCCCAGACCCGTAAGAATTTAGAATCCGTTTCAAATATTCACTGGGTCTGCAGTGAGACTGAACATCGCGTTAGGGTCGAGTTCTATGAAGTACTAGTCGGTACTTCAACGAACCATAATTAGCCCATCGACGAAAGTCGAATGAACGATGCGACTCACCTCCTTTGGTTAGCATCCAACAAAAATCGATAAAGGCAATTGAAGATGTAGAAGAAGAGGAGCCATATGAAAATGTCCAGCCCGATCAGCTTGTAGATGCTCCCCTTCCACCTGCGCGTGACTCCGTGTTGAAACGTTTCGGCCGGAGAAACGAGACTGAGGATTCGGTCGAGCGAGATTCTCACCTGGCCAGAAGCCCGACGACGCCTCCCATGCGAGTCACGGCTGGAAACTTTCTGGGGTTCCCTGGAGTTTTCATGGCGAATTCCGGTTGCGTATTAATGTGGAGTATCTTTCTCGGTCAGACACGGTTCTGCGGCTCCATTCGGCCTCGCGTTCGTCCCGTAGAAGAGGCGGTACTGACCGGGATTGACTCCCGTACTTGCCTCGCTCGTGAATTGATAACGAGAGGTGCGCTATCGCGCACTTGCGCGTTCGTAGAGACTTGCGTCCGGCCGTCCTGCCGTCCGGCCGTCCAGACGGTGAATCCAGGGGGCACGTGGCGGGATCGTGCTTTTCGGCTTAATTTCGAGTCCTGCATTTTTCGTGGAGGGATCTTCCGCGTACCGTACAGATATTCCTTTTTTAAAATTATAAATCCATTGGGCTTCTTAAGTACAATATGTTTGCTGTGAGGTACGCCACTTTTGGGAAAGCTAGCTTAACGGTCATTTTCTCCCAATCCATTACATAAGGCCTACGACTGCGATACTAGTAGGATGCCGAAAAAGGGCAAGGCCGATCGAGCCCGTCCGCAGCCCGTCCAAAGCTCAAAGCTTCGGTGCAGAGGGTTTCTCGCGAGAGCCATCCCCGATTTTTCAAACTTTACGATTGGGTGTTCTTCGAGGTCGAAATCTTCGAGGAACGCGTCGTGTTTCGACTCGTCGCTCGGTCCGTCGACACGAACGGTAGAAACGACCCCGATCGACCGACTCGCCTCGAGATTTCCATTCCGTCATGCAATCAGCCGACCGAGGGATAACGAAACCCTCCCACCTGGGTAAATATAGTTGGGTGTATTGCGCTCCGGTAGAAGGTGAATCCGGTACCTAGAGCGATAAAGCCGGTGTCTATCCTCTTGGTCGATGCCAGGTCGACTACATCATACGGTGCATTATTTAGTCCACGTTTACTGGCCTTTTCATCGAGTCACGGCTTATTACTGCCGAGAGTCGATATCTTTCGAGTCCCGATACCCTAATTACGTTGCCTAGGTCGTTTACCCGTTACCTTCGTCTACCCTTACGAAGCGTCCACCTACCAGGTGGATTTGGATTCAGGCAGATATCCCCTTAAGGCGGCGCAGTAACCTCCCTCAAAAAAGAGCTAGGGACTCGGCGTTTCACAGATGTCGTTCAGTGTCTCCCCGCCTCTCAGACTCGCCGGCTCTCGGGCCAAGGGCGAAAAGGGCGAGGACGAGGGGGTGGAGCGCGAGGTGAAGACCCATCCCCTCCCGCCTCGAGAAGAACCATGCCCTTGTAGATATCGGTTGCCCGAGAACAGTGGTAGCGTTCTAAATCAATTCGGAATTCAGACTCAATAAATCTAATTAAGTTTATTTTGATCCTACATAATCCTAGGCATTGTGACCGAGCCGTTTTCTTGACATTCTGACGTTGACATAGGCCAGGCGGCTGATTGCTGCCAATTAGCATCAATATATAATTTTCCTTACTGAGTCCGAGAATGGACCCCTTAATTTTATCACCTAAACCACTACGATGAAGAGATCTTCCAGCTTCTTTCCTTTCTTGTACAAACCGCTAATTCATTTCACAGGCATTTCATCTTTTCTCTCCCTTCTTTATCCCTTGAGAGGTGGACCTCGTAAATTAATTGATGGATTGATGAACTCCAACTTCATCCTGCGAGACTGGTCAGACGATGCAGTACAATACGGAAGGAGAAATGCAAAGAATTCCACGCTGAGAGGGCAGGATGAAAGGCAGGCCCCGAGGGCGACGATGTCATCACCCCACTCGAAGCTTCATTTTCTTCTCCCTTCTTGCCCTGGCCTCACCGTAGCCTAAGGCTCTGTCTCTTTCGCCTGTCATCTTCTTTTTCCCATTGCAGTAAATTACAGTATACCGTTGTAACATCTCCTATCGTTGAATTCTTTCCCACTGTGGCACTTGCTCTTCATGCTTATCCTAGATTCGTTCCTCTCGTGATTTATTCCTTCTCAGTTTGTCTACTAAAACAAAATCCTTCAATGACGGTAGTAATTTTCTTTATTTGTTTAGAAAAATTTTTTTTTAAGAGTAAAAAATTCGATATTACTCTTCCTCCCGGAAATAGTCCTACGTATTACCCGTTCGAATCTCCTATCCCTCCCCCCCAATCCAATCCAGCCGATGATAATTATTTTATTGTGTTTATGTACACAGGACACCCTGACCACTGTTGCAATATAAAACCACCCTGACTTTCAACGACTTTAGGAACACGAGTTTTCATACTTTATACTAGTTTACTAGTACTAGCACGGCCAAGTCCATTGGGAGTGCCTTCCACTCGAAAATATGTTTGTCTTTAAATTCTCAATGAAGCACGGAGTGGGGGGGACGCGTCCAAGACTTCATATCCCCTGTATAAAAGGGTGAATTTTGGAGATATTCCAAGCTTTAGCTAGGAGAAAAATAGATGGAATGTTCCATACGCTTCACAGTTACAGGCGATTTGCCTCTGGGTCCATTGTAAAGTCCAAAGAGAGAGTATATTAATTATAGCTTATTTTTCGGTTGATTCTTGACCATACACAGAGAAAAGAGGTCATCTTGAATAAAGTCGTTCTTTCCGTGCCGAGAAAGGAAAAGGGAGCTTAGCTTTCTCTGTCTGGTTTCTCATGTTTCTCCTTCCTTTCCTACCCTGTCTAGACATGAATTCCTCGAGGGGGAATGCTCACCCTCTGTTCATCACATCTGCTAGTGAGGTGTTCCCTTTCTGGCAAATGGACCTTTCCAATGGACCAATCCACCTTCAAGGTGGATTGGAACATAATGGTCGTATAGGGAAAATGATATGGGATCGGATGAGACAGTGACATTATTTTCTTCAAATGTCACTAGGGTGTGAAAAATTCTTTTTTATGTCCCCCAGCGTGTGCGCCAAAAAATTCAGACCTGAAAAACTCAGAGACATCAATTGTCTCGTTCTGACGACCTCTATCAGTCCAGTCCTTGTACTTCAACTCAGTCGAGCCTGTTTTTGGGTTCTGTCGTCCTGACATCTAAGTTGGAGTCAAGGTTCGGAACCGGTCTTCGAAATGTATTCGAGAAAGACAGCAGAACGTAAGAGGGGCGCTGCAAAATCTCATTCCAAATGTCTCCTTATCCTAATGACTATTTTGGTATTGTTTTTCCAGGATTCAAGAAGATTAAGTGATTTTTTCAATTTTTTTTTTCTATATCAAAATGGTGTGACGAAAAATAAATGTTCGTAGCATAAGGTCCAAAAAAGGTCACCACCCACAAATTATAACTGGGCGGTCTAGCCCCTTCTATGTGATTTGTGGATGACTGGTTTCGCAAGTTCTGGTGTGGACATTTTGGTCTGGAGGAACGGGCCCCGTGAAGGTCGTCCAATTTCAGCAAGTGATGAGACAAATGTGGTTGAAGTGAAGGTCGTGAAAAAAAAAATCGTAAAGAATTTTTGGGGTGCATAAATTTTGTTCATGTTGGATTCCCCTTCCACTAACTGGGTGCCAAAAATGGTTGGGGTAAATTTCTGCAAAAAATGCTGCAGAAATTCAATAAAGAAGTTTCAAAGTGTGTGCAGTTGGTGACAAGACCACGCTGGGATGATTTCATCTCTTCAAAACAGTGTTTCGCAGTTAGCAGCCTTCAGAAACCATTCCAAATCAGCACTCTCAGATCACTCTGGGTCAAAGTCATATGTCCTGGGGGGTGACCTTACGCTACGAGTCGCCATGTTGGTAACAATTTTCCAAAAAAATCACTGAATCTTTTTGAATCCCAGGAAAATAATACAAACGTATTTTATTAGGATCCAGGGATCTTTCATGCAATTTGGCTAGAACTTCTGGGGTGCCTCTTGTATAAGCCATTTTCTTCACTGCCAAGATTTGCTTTTGTGTCTATCGTGAAGCCGAATATAACATAACTTCCTGAAAAAGGACATAATAAATTATCATCTTCTGCGGTCATCTTACGTATGTAAGAGTTGTAACACAACCACGCAAATGGGTCCATATCTCATAACTATGTAGCCTTCCCTTTTATTTTTAAGAGGGAAAGGGGTGAAAGGGAGGCCTCTGAACCTTTCTCAGGGGGACGTCCCCTTAGGTTAAAGAAATTCCGGAAAATCGGCCAATAAGGGTCGAGGAAGGTGGAGCTCTCTTCATGCTGTCCCTCTTTCGTGAGACAGGTCTGCCATCTATATTTTGGAGGCGCAAGCAAACCATTATAATGGACCTCTATGGCGCCAACTTTTGGCTCAAATATCATGAAAAAGCGCCAAATTTGTTAACATCCGCTTGCAAGTATGTAACAGTAGTGACATTCTCCGTGGCTTAACCTTGGGATTTTGGAATCCATCTTGCCGTTTTTGAGATACTGAGATCAAGTACTAGTTAGTACTTGGTGCGGTACTTATAAGTACCATCATTAGAAGCAGATCAATGAGTGGATGACAATGATATAAGGTTCATATGTATGGGACTAAGCGTTTAGGAATCCGAGAGGGTTTTCTTCCAGCCAGCCCAAATCAAAGGGTACTGCGCCCCCTTAATTCATTAGAAGCAGATAAATGAGTGGATGACAATGATATAAGGTTCATATGTATGGGACTAAGCGTTTAGGAATCCGAGAGGGTTTTCTTCCAGCCAGCCCAAATCAAAGGGTACTGCGCCCCCTTAAGGTGAATATTGGTCTTCGAGACATCTGGTTAAGGATGTGTAACGTTAGGCCAATCGCAGGCCTATTCATACGTTCACGAATCATTTCAGAGAGGACGTGCAACGTTAAACCGATTGGAGGCCTGTTTCGCGTTTCATGAGCCATTTCAGTGGGACATGGAACGTTAGCCCTATTTGGAGTTCCTCGAACCATCTCGAATAGGCTTGAGGAGAGAATGCCTTCAAGAAGCATGCAATCCATGTTTCGCGCCATCCTGTTGATTTAGTGATGTCTGGATAAGATATCTGCATATCCCACCACATCGATCAATCACTGCAAACCACCGCCCTATTCTCAGTTCAACTCATGAACTCAGCACAAAAATATTTCATACATTAACCCTTTGCGGTCATGTGTCGGGCAGGACCCGACATTAAAAAAGATTAGTTCCAGTCATATGTCGGGTGTTTTCCTGCCATTTATTACTATATTTTACTTCACACGACATCTA